TTGTTTTAAGTAAGTTATATGGTGTGTAATGTTTTATTATAAACATTGTTTTAAGTAAGTTATATGGTGTGTAATGTTTTATTATAAACATTATGTTTTAAGTAAGTTTTATGGTGTGTAATGTTTTATTATGTAATTATTATGTTTTATTATGGTGTGTAATGTCTTAGTTTGATCACTCTCAATACTTCCAATTTGATAGTAGAGCAGTATGAACTTAAAACACTCTATTCAATTTTCAGGTGCTAAATTACTACTTGGCAAGAACAATTTATGCACAAAAAACAAGGTTTTAAAGTAAATGCTATAGTAAACTTATTTTCTGTAGTAATATATTGTACTAGTGTAGCTACTTATTGTTTATGACTCCTCGATATGTATTTCTTTAATTATTTTCAATAATATACATCAATGTTGAAATTTTTTATGTCGTGGACCGAGCTTTTATCATCTTAAGTATCAATAGTATATTATATACATTTAAAATAAATTGACTTACCAGAATAATGTTTTATACATTTTTAAAGTGCAGATTAAAGTCCCAGTTTATTTTTTAAAAGAATTAGACATGCACTGTATAATGGTTTAACTAGTTAATAAGTTAAACACTAGACGTGCACTGTATAATGGATTAACTAGTTAATAAGTTAAGCAGATTTTAACAATACAATTCTGGAAAATATGAGCAACAATATTTGTACTTATGCTATCAGTAATTGGAGAATGAGTTCCACATTTATAAAACTTGTGCTTTTAATTTTATACACACACACATTTGCTTTCTAAAGATTAATCCATTGACTGCAGCTGCTCTAAATGTGCACGGAAGTTTTGCAAGCCGTACACTGTATATGGTACAGACCGTACCCTATACGGCGAATCAGTAGTCAATGGGTCAATTACTTTCTGATAGCATAACAGATAATTATGAGGTTTGTGTTTTCAAAATTCTTAAAATTTAAAGTTTAGGCCAGAGTGAGGCCCGGTGATTAACATGCCGGACTATGGATCTGCAGGTCCATCATTCTTGTCCTGTTAGTGTAAAAAATATATAATAATTGCACTCTTTACTTGGAGTCATGGGTGCATCATAAAGGTAACAGTCAAATCCCACTATTAAGTCAGACAGGAGTAGCCCAAGAGTTGGTGGTGGATGTTGTTGACTAGCTGCCTTCTTTTTAGTCTGTTGGTTCAAAATTAGGGATGGCTAATTAAATAGTCCTTGTGTAACTTTGAGTGAATATATATGAAAACAAACAAAAGGTTTAAAAGACCTTTGAGTGGTAATTTGAAAGTTACATCCTTTACCTGAGATACGACAGCTTCAAAATTACGAATTATTTTTTATTTATAAACTATTTAATTTAGCCTACTTCTGAAAGACAAGTCTAAGAACTGTTGATACAAACAAACAAACTAATTTACAGTAACTTTAGCAAAAGAACTGATAATCACAAATACATTTAATGGTGCATACACATGTGGTCTAAATAATTTGATATTGAAGCAAACAATAGGTACGTGTATTCAATTAGATTGACAGGTATACTTTGCTTTTGGGGCTTTAAAAAATAGTTTATGTTATACATTTATGTTCCACATTTTTGTTAAAGTTTTTCATAGTTTTCAGTAAACACTTCTTAAGTAGTTTTTTCCCAGTATGGTTAAAACTTTACCAAAACACCTAACACAGTTTGGATATGTTATGAAGAGCTATTGACAGTTAAGTTTTTGTGAAAGTGGCTTTACCAATTTCTCTCTTGTTTTGTTTTCTAATCAAGCAGATTGCAGTGTGTTTTGAAACAGTTTTCGAAATGTTTTTTGTTGTATTTTCAGGTTCAGATTCAAGAACCTTAAAGGAGAAACTTCTCAATGAAGGGTTGGCTGAGTTAGTAATTGAACTTCTAAAACCACCAACCAAGTTAACGTCAACCCAGTTAGCTAAACTGGCAGAACTGATTGCAGAAGTTGCAAAATGTGGTAACTCATTATGAAGTTTATTCAGTTTTAGGATATGTAGGTACAGTTTTGTACCTGTCTTTGATTTAACAAGTAGATATGTAGGTACAGTTTTTGTACTTATCTTTGTTTAACAAGTAGATATGTAGGTACAGTTTTTGTACTTGTCTTTGATTTAACAAGTAGATATGTAGGTACAGTTTTTGTACCTGTGTTTGATTTAACAAGTAGATATGTAGGTACAGTTTTTGTACTTGTCTTTGATTTAACAAGTAGATATGTAGGTAAATATGCAGAAATATGGTCATTAATGTTGTTTCCAGTGTAACATTAATGACCATATTTCCTCATCTTTTTTCTGGGCCAATAATCTTATTTAATTTCTTTCTTTTTATCATTGTCGTTTCAGTTTGTTTTTTTATACAAGTACTGTAGTAAACAGTTTGTTTTTTTATACAAGTACTGTAGTAAACAGTTTTTTTTTTTATACAAGTACTGTAGTAAACAGTTTGTTTTTTTATACAAGTACTATAGTAAACAGTTTGTTTTTTTATACAAGTACTGTAGTAAACAGTTTGTTTTTTATACAAGTACTGTAGTAAACAGTTTGTTTTTTTATACAAGTACTGTAGTAAACAGTTTGTTTTTTTATACGAGTACTGTAGTAAACAGTTTGTGAATTTCATTATTCTCTCAGTTGGATTAGTTTAGTAGAAACAGAACTATTTCCTCACAAACAAAAAATTAAAAGATACGTGTAAGTACATAATCGAAATGGCTTTTTAATTATTCAGTGGAATCCAATTTCATTCATGAGATCTGACTTTTTTTTTGTGTGTTTGTGTTCAAAGGTTCTAAGTTATGAATGTTATATTACATTATATACAAGTCTTCATTTGTTTTATTAGAACTTGGAAGAAAGCCACTTTCTGATCCCACAGTTCTTTCAACTTTGTTGGAGTTATTGTCTGACAAGGACAATCAAGTTGTTCTGCAGTCTTGTCGAGCTCTCGGGAACATCTGTTACGACAACGGTAAGTTTGTACTTCAATACTATATTCTATTCAGTAAGGAGGATATGCTTTGTTCAGTGTATTAATTGTTACTGGTATATTGGTGTAACCTTACATTACTTGTTACTGGGATATTGGTGTAACCTTACATTACTTGTTACTGGTATACTGGTGTAACCTTACATTACTTGTTACTGGGATATTGTAGTAACCTTACATTACTTGTTACTGGTATATTGGTGTAACCTTACATTACTTGTTACTGGGATATTGGTGTAACCTTACATTACTTGTTACTCGTATACTGGTGTAACCTTACATTACTTGTTAATGGTATATTGGTGTAACCTTACATTACTTGTTACTCGTATACTGGTGTAACCTTACATTACTTGTTACTGGGATATTGGTGTAACCTTACATTACTTGTTACTCGTATACTGGTGTAACCTTACATTACTTGTTACTGGTATATTGGTGTAACCTTACATTACTTGTTACTCGTATACTGGTGTAACCTTACATTACTTGTTACTGGGATATTGGTGTAACCTTACATTACTTGTTACTCGTATACTGGTGTAACCTTACATTACTTGTTACTGGGATATTGGTGTAACCTTACATTACTTGTTACTCGTATACTGGTGTAACCTTACATTACTTGTTACTGGTATATTGGTGTAACCTTACATTACTTGTTACTCGTATACTGGTGTAACCTTACATTACTTGTTAATGGTATATTGGTGTAACCTTACATTACTTGTTACTCGTATACTGGTGTAACCTTACATTACTTGTTAATGGTATATTGGTGTAGTGTTTCATGGTTTGAACCCATACTGTCTAGTGTTTCATGGTTTGAACCCATACTTTGTAGTGTTTCATGGTTTGAACCCATACTGTGTAGTGTTTCATGGTTTGAACACAGACTGTGTAGTGTTTCATGGTTTGAACACAGACTGTGTAGTGTTTCATGGTTTGAACAGACTGTGTAATCGATCTTTGCTTTATTTTAGCTTTTAAAATTGTTAGAGTCATGTCTTTTCAGAAAACATTATAGTTTCTTATCATGCTTTTAAAATAAACTATCTCGTAAATATACAAAATTCAATCTTGAAAATGTTTAGCATTTTTAAATTCCTGAGCACATTTTTGTGGATTCCAGGATTTGTATACTCCTACCATTTACTAATCTTTTAGATTTAGCTCCAGAATTTGTATACTCCTACCGTTTACTTATCTTTTAGATTTATCTCCAGGATTTGTATACTCCTACCGTTTACTTATCCTTTAGATTTATCTCCAGGATTTGTATACTCCTACCATTTGACCACAATACAGTACTGATTTACTGATCTGTATTACATGTATCACTGTGAGTTTAGAAAACAGTACCGTACTGATTTGTATTACATGTATCACTGTGAAAACAGTACAAATATAATAACAGTATAAAGATACAAATACTGTTTACCAAACTGTATGAAACCTACCATATGTTTCAGTCATGTTTAACAAGCAGCCAGAGGCAGTAGCTCGGAGGTTGTGAGGCATTTCTTTCATTTCTAGAAGACTCTGTAACAAGAGAACTAGTTTCTCCACACCTTTCTGATCCTTTACGATACCTCGGGCTAAATCTAAAAGATAAGTAAACGGTAGGAGTATACAAATCCTGGAGATAAATCTAAAGGATAAGTAAACGGTAGGAGTATACAAATCCTGGAGATAAATCTAAAAGATAATTTGTATTACATGTATCACTGTGAGTTTAAGTACTGATTTGTATTACATGTATCACTGTGAGTTTAGACCACAGTACAGTACTGATTTGTATTACATGTATCACTGTGAGTTTAGACCACAGTACAGTACTGATTTGTATTACATGTATCACTGAGTTTAGACCACAGTACAGTACTGATTGTACTGTTTTCTAAACTCCTCAGTGATACATGTAATACATATCAGTATTGTACTGTGGTCTAAACTCACAGTGATACATGTAATACAAATCAGTACGGTACTGTGGTCTAAACTCACAGTGATACATGTAATACAAATCAGTACTATACTGTGGTCTAAACTCACAGTGATACATGTAATACAAATCAGTACTGTACTGTGGTCTAAACTCACAGTGATACATGTAATACAAATCAGTACTGTACTGTGGTCTAAACTCACAGTGATACATGTAATACAAATCAGTACTGTACTGTGGTCTA